CTCTCAGCAACACAAAAAGGTAAACGAGTCCAGGGAGAGCACGCGAATTTCAACAAGTCGATCGGAGCAAGGCCCCGAAGCCTTAGGTCGAAGGAGCAACAGGCGGCGCGAGGAATGCAAGGAAAAGAGCGCCCCGCTCTCCCAATGTACCCATATACTTACCTTTTACCTCCGATCACTGCCGCGACTTTTTCACGCGCTATCGCCCGAGCCACTTTCCCCTCGTCCATCCTAGCGCACGGATCCCCCTCCCCCCGCGGGAAAGGACGCAGCATCCCACAGCACACGGATGACAATGGGCGACACTTGTCGGCGCTCCGATGCGCCCGGGAGAAGAAAAGTCGAGAAAGGAGGAAAGGGGCTCCGTGGGGCCCGCACAACGAGACTCGCGCTCCCATAGAAAGGAGAGAAAGGGGGACCGGGCGCGCAACCTGCCGCCGAGCAAACGTCAGTCGCTGACCAGACACTCGGCCGCGCAGTGCACACAAGGCTCCCGAGAAAGCCGGTCTCCCTGTGCCAATACATTGTTGACGTTGCGAGCTTTCGCGCAACATGAGAGGATATCTCCTGCTGGGCCCCGCGAGTATATTGTGCTCTGAAAAAAGTGTGCCTCTCCGTTGATGTTGTTACTTATTTTTTCGTCGTGGCTGTGAAGTGCAAAACCAGAGTGGTTGTTGGCAGGTCGGAGGAGTCACGCCAGAAACACGTAAGGAACACACGGTGCTCGGAGGGATGAGTATATAAGTATAACCAAGTGCGAGCTTGTGCACGTCACGGGTGAGCGCGACTGGCGCTTCCGCGAGTCCGAGCGCGCCGGAGCGGGAAGCGAACCGACTCCTTTTACCATCTCTCTCGCGATGGAGCTTTTGCTCTTTTGATACGTGCCTGTATATATTGTTACGCAGTCGCGCAATCGGCGTTATGATCTTTTTTCTTAATTGGGGACGCGTTAGCTCCGTACACAGGATTCCACTTATGCCGTATGATGTTGGTCGACCTCCTTGCTTCGCCTGTTTGGAATTTTTTATTCAATGTGAGACAATCGGGTGCTTTTTTTTCTCATGGGGATAAAACAGTTTAACGTTCCCCGCAACAATTATTGGGATTCACAGTCCACCTGATGATGCTTGAGAAATCACGTGAACTTGGTTTTGGAAAAGTTTGCGACTTTAATGTATCGAGAATACATTTCGTTATTCCGAAGCTTGAATCGGTTCATATTGAAAAAAATTTTTTTTTTTAACGACGTGCACGAAAAATAATGCCACCTATGGTGATATCGTTAAAAACAGGGAGAAACATAAATTGGAGTTGATGATACATGGTAAGATTAACGATCGTGACAATTTTATCTCGGAACATTACCCTCGATACCATATACCAGTTCTCGCATTTTTTCCAAGCATCCTCTCGAGAGGTATACGCGAGCACCGGAGCTCGAAAAACGCCGTACAGGAGTCACCTAAATCCAAGAATTATCGGCCGCCGTTAATTCAGCCGAGTCCCGAGCTGGAGCTGTGGGACTGTTGTATTTTATAACTGTAAGCCGTGGCCGTAAAAAAAAAAAAAAAAAAAAAAGAAACTGCTGTCTATGCGGTTCGGTTACATTTTAAAACATATCCTACATTCGTGGCTCTCCTAAAGTCGCGCGCGCGCTCGCGCTAACGTCCTACTTTTAGTTTTTAGCTTTTGCGATTTGCACGTTGCGTGTGTGTACTGCTGCCAAGTGCGCTGCTGCTTGTTTGCAACTTTAAGTGCAAGCATTTTTGACACTGACTGTCTCAAATCGACGATACTAGTTTTTTTTTTTTAGTTATTAGATATATATATATGTGTGTGTGTGTGTATTAAAAAACTGCCATATATGCTACCAAGTGAACATCACCTCTGTATTAAGCATGAAATATATTTTGTAGCAAATATTAAATACATCAGGGATTTTATTACTACTCACCATGTAAATGTTTTTATTTATAATCTCAGACACTTCTCTTTCTAGTTTTTCTGAATCAACTGGTACAGCTGTAAAAATATGAGGACTGTGGTAACCTTTTTGCTGTATATTACGTTGATAACTAAATTAAGATCATCTTTAATCTGTATGAATTTAAAGGAGTAGGGTACATGTCATTCAAAGTTATGTTATTCAACAAAACTTGAAAAAGTCACATCTTTCCGAAAAAATCTAAGAGTGTTCTTATCTAGTTTTCACCTTCTTACAATGACGCCTAGTAAGTGTGTAAATGTGTAAGAGTAAAAAAAGCTACTTTAGGTTGTTAAACTGAAAAAAATTTTGTATGAAAGAAATCAGTAAGCTTATTTAATTGTTCATATGTCAACAACAACAACAAAAATTTTCTTAACAATTCATATGAACTAGTTAACAAACCTCTAGTGGTTGGCTCTGTTTTGAAAAAATTTTTTTTTCTTTTTTTAAAAACTTTCAGAATACAAAGAAGAAACTTTAAGCTATTCTAATAAAAAAATTTTTGCAGATTCGCAAAACATCCAATGAAAGTTAGATGCCAACTGACAAAAGAATAAAAATTGAAATCAGTTCAATAATTCTATTCTAATACACTACGTTACAGGAAAAAAAGGTTTACCAAAATGTGGCCTATTCTCATACTTAACTATTCATTAGAACACAATTAAACCAAGATCATTTGCATGTATATTACTTGCAATGAGAGAATCAGACAATGATGGATTGATTTATCAGGTTAAATAAAGTCGACAATAATATACTTTTTTCATAGATCGAATTTCAATGTAAATCTCTTTTTGTACCCAACTTTACTTGTCGAATAAGTTATCCAACATAAGCTTATGGAAATCCTTACAAATCTAATCATTAATGCAAGCAGCTATAAAATACAACAATAATCCAGCATAGTTATATATTTTGCAGTATATGTAAGTAAGTTCCCTTACACACACTAGTTAAAAAATGTTTTTACGTTTAAAATAAAGTTCAATTTTGAACTGTGTATAGGCATAAAGGTACCCCAACGCAGTGTGTAGAAAGGTATAACCGTGCATCAAGCCACTGAGCCGTTACTATGGATCTTTTGTGCTCTTTTTTGTAGCAAATTTCTGAAACACTTACATTCTAGGTAGTTAATAGTAAATTTGCTATAACTTTAAAAATCTTAGTGCGTGGTTAAGTGTACCTATACGCTAGGTAACTACCTATGGTGTAAAACGACCGTGCCATCTCACGGATGTGTTTTTCAATAGAGAGGTGAAAGAAGCTGAATAGGTGTGTGATAACCATGTTACTAGAGCAGTTTTGTTAATTAGTCTTACGTTATTAAAGGACGTTGCAAGTTGTAAAAATGTTTGTGTTAGTAAAATTAGTCATCAAAAAATAAAAAACAAGAGCATTTTGAAAAGGCAGTTTTCTACAAAGTTAAAATTTTATTAGCTGTAGGGATCTATTTGAGCACGTGAGATCGAGAGAGAGAGAAAGAGAGACGAGCAGACCTGACCTCACTTTTGCTCTTATTTACATTCATTGATTCCATACAGCCAGTTTATTTCACAAGATTTTAGCTTTGTAGATTACTTGTCTTGTAAAAACACACTTGTTCCTACTACTTGGATACCAAATTCACCCATCACGAAAATTCATACCCTTTTCAGCATCCCACAACCACGTGGAATTTAGAAACAAAGTAACTGTTTGTACATGATTGTCACATACCTGTTTAGCTCTTCTCACCCCCCTTTTGAGGCATTTTGACAACTGATATCGCTGTTGGTGGTAGTGACCTAGCGTAATACTATCTTATTTCTAGTATTTCATCAGTCATTTAAAAAACTGGTTGACACGCAAAATTACAGATACGATCCACTTGCAAATAATCTTTGTTTTAAACTTTTCCACTAAGTCCAATAAATTTTACTTTTATAAGAGTTCTTCATCTTACAAGTTTATGATTTAGTGAGAATATATTACTGTAATTTATAAACTATTCAAGGAGTTTCAAATGTCCCCTGCCATTTTAGTGATGCTGTTAACTATACGTAGCGGCAGAGTGACTTTTGCAAACAAACCCTGACAATTTAGCATTGTGCTCTACTGTGCTCTACTGTTTTGGTAGTGTAGCAACTGATAGAGGCAAAACCACTGACTCAGCATAGCTGTGTTCAGTTGGAAAAGAGTTTTTTCTTTAGTGTAGTTTTAGTTATTGCCATTTAATGCTTTTCTTTCATAACAGAATGTTACTTAATTTTTGCGCTTTTTATTTGAACATGTGAAATGGTTAAGGTTTCAGTTTTAGCTTGAGCCACTTCATTTACATTTTCATGGGCTTTCCGACACTAAAAGTCATGGCTCATTTCAAATACGCTGATAATACTTGTTCAGAGATTTTTAAGTTAATGAAAAATGATAAAAGTTTAAATTTAATATTTTATAAACATGTGTATAAAGAACAACTTTGAAAATTCTTTTTTTGTACACGTGATTTTCAATACACTTTTATGAATTATCATGTAAAACCTTACCNGAGCAGCTAAACCAGAGGTGGAAAACGGTACCTGGTGCGCCGTCTCGTGTAACGCAGCGAGCAAAATCCGTGAAATTGAAAAAAAAAAAAAAAAAAAACAAACAAACGGATAAAAAAAAATCAACAGTAGCCCAGCTAGAGCAAAAATAGGAAGGAAGGTGATGCACCGCACTGAAGAAAACAAGCTGCGAAGAGGAAGCAGAGCGCGCGCAATGACCTGTACGCCATCGTACCTGGGAAGGATACCTCGCTCAAAGTGACGATTCATCGTTGCCCTGTTGCCCACACGGAGTCGATTAATTAGCTCAAAACTCTGGCGGTCAAGTGCCTCGAACTGCAACCAATATTCGAAATAATCAGCGGGCCATGCGCGACGTCGGTGACGAGTAGCCGGTGAAAGACCACGAAATCGAGCGCCAAAGTGTCGTTTCAATCAAAGATCGGAGGATTAGAAAAAGGGGGGGTATGGATCTCCAGAGTTCGGCAATGGCGGCAGACTCGACGGTGCGGAGCCAGGACTCGGCCAACAGCAGCGACTCGAAGGAGACGAAGGTGTCGAAGGTGTCGGACGACAGCGCGAGGTCGTCCTCCAAGCCCGAGAGCTGCCTCGAGTCCAAGCACTCCAAGGACCAGCTGATAGAGACCTCGACGAGGAGGCACCACCACCACCACCACCACCATCGCCATCCGGAACATCAGCAGCAGCCACAGCAACCACAGCAGCAACGACATTTCAAAGAGATCGCCGACAGAGATTCCAAGGATGACGCCAGTATGCTAATGTTCACGTCCTGCGGGCAGCTGCTCTTGGGTGAGGCACACACTTCTTTTTTATTTATTTCTTATTTTTCATTTTTGAAGTACAAGGTGGATATTCTCTGTAGTGCTCAAAATTTGGCTCGCGTTCCGTTGAAACAGCTAATAAACAGATGCTAGTAAGAATCTCGAGTACATTAATCTCTCGAATACGTATGCAATCGAGGTATCTCGTTATTGAAGCATAAACGTGTTGGTCGGGCTTCGCAGCGAAGCGCGAATTAAGAGTCCTCCGAGCGGCTGCATTGCCCTGTTACCTCATTGGTAGTGAACCCTGGGTGAAAGGAACAGCAAGGCCGGTTGTCGGCTGTACTTAGGCTCGTGTGCCACAAGTGTGGGAATCCGCTGGCTCGGTATGGTTTGGATTTGAAACAGCTAGACCTCAGGTATCATCGAGTTTTTATCCTCCAAAGGAATATTTGGGAAAAATCGCACGTGCCAAACTTTTGCGGCTAAAAATATTCGAGAGCTGGTTCGACTGGTTTTGATGATATGATGCTATGGAATTCTCACTTTGTGCTTTGTAGACATGATAATTAATTTGGTTGTTTTGTTTGGGTGTCGAGGAACGATTTTTCCATTTTTTCGTGCGTCTTTGTATCACTGGTCGTGATACCTTATAAATTTGCTTTCTTTTTATTTCGATCTTTTTTTTTTTTTTTTATTTATATATATATAGTGGAGGTAATGACTGACCTTTCATCCTGTACCCTGGTATTTTTTAAATTATTCTCATCGATTTATTAATCTTGCTAATAATATTTTTGTTTAGCTAGCAACCTTTTTTACCATACATTTTTTGACGGGTAACTTGCCAATTGACGTGACTTCGTGGGACCGCGAGTCTTTAGTTGACCAAATAAAGATGTACTATACTTACAATGCTTTGACACCATATGTTATCAAGCCGGAATCAATTTATCTGTATACTCGAGTCCATCACTATATTTCTACAAACAGTTGGGGCCACAAATACTCTGGTAAAACTCTTATTCCTATCTTCGAGTCGTTCCTATCACCTGTATGCTCTGTGTTTCGAAGAAAACTTACAATAACAATACCAATGATGTTCAATCCTTGTGTTGACCACAAAAATTAATAACTGAATGTATATAGCTTCTGAATAGTACGTTGGCAAGAGCCTGCCATTGTCTATTCATCGAATTCCACTAAAATTGCAAGTAAGCAGAGAAAAATTGCCTCTCCCAGGTGTACTTACAAACAACGTAGAAGCTCTGCTGGATAACTCTGTGGTCTGTCCTTCCATCTATACGTAAAATATACAGTACAGGTTCGACAGCTACGTGTATCTCTGCGGGGAAGCTTGCGGTCTTACATTGCACTGGCGACGCTCTCCCCAATTTTTTTTTTCTTATTTCCTCTTTTTCTTCCAACTTCGACTCTTTTCTACATTAGTTCCCGTACCAATTTGTTGACGCTATCTTCTAAACATACGCAATCATACATAAGTACATATCATTCTTCTTCCCATTGCTTTCTGAATACCACACTGAGAAAAAAATATAATAAAAATTATTGTGCTGGAATGGTAATCTGGTCTTATTCCGGCGTCTAGGAACTTTTTACTTTGGCCAGCCTAATTTTTACTATTCTGGACAATAATTTATGTTGTACAAACAGCAAAAATTACTCTTCCAAACACTATAAATTATTGTTCCAATAGTAAAAAGTCTGTAGACGACCAAACAGTACCAGATTTGACCAGATTACCATTCTAGCACAATTTTTATTATATTTTTCTCTCAGTGCACGATTATGTACTCTGGAATATTGTGAAATGTCATTTGAGATGAGCATAGCTTCTGGTTCAAAATCTATCAAGATCTCGATTCTTTGGTAATAAAATTATAAAAACCTTAAACACGTAGAACGTGTCCTCTGCTATTTGTCACTAAAAATCACTTCCGGATTTTTTATGTGCTTCTTGCTATGCAAATTGGTAATTCCGAGTTATAGCCTATAGTAAAGTTTATTGGTAAGCTGTTTCATCATAGTTTTTGCCATGAGAATAATTAATCAATGTATTCACTTCGATGATAAAAAAATCACTACGACTAGCTCATCCCCTCACTGCAAGTTTTACCATTTTATTGATACACCATTTACATGCAAATTAACTTTTATGATATCCAAAAGTGATTTTTGTTCAAACAAAGCAGTGGATGTTTTCAACGTTGTAAGAACATTTTGACAATCGTTTTTTCAAAGGTATTAAGGCTCTAAAGACACAACTTTTTTTCAACGGTTACACGACATGATGTGCTATTATAGTGACGGGTCCGAAAACTCATGACCGGAGCTCTGAAAAGCCCACAGTAGCAACGCGTCACCTCCGAGCGACGGGCGAACCCTTTCTCCACTCGCGAAACTGCCGGGGGCAATTAAGAGAAAAATTCTCGTTGTGCAACGCCTGAATCTCGTCGTGGAATGCCGCAACGGCACCGCCTGCGGTAGATGCGTTCGAACACAATAATCATCGTGGACTGCTTTTCGTTCCACCACCACCACTCGCTCGCCTCTGCTCGTGGGGAATATCTGATTTCGTCGCCTATCGACTCCAGGGCTACCGCACAGACTGGACGGGTGAATGCAAACTGGTGGTGCAGGTGGTCTCGATTAAAAATGCCGGTCTTGAGTGACTGCGAAAATGACAGTTTCATAAGTTCCGCATAAATTCGTCGTCGCGTGTCTGGTGCTTGGAACTCTATTATCTGCTCAATTTTTTTTTTTTTTTTTTTTTTTTTTTTTTGGAATCCCGAGGTGACAAGATTTATTACCAAGCTCTCAAATAACACGCACAACGAAAGAGGTAGTGGCTATTTTTAAAGCCGTATGATTTAAAAAATGTCTTGGCCAGCAAGTTACTGCGCCTCTACGGTGAGAATCTTCCGATGGGTAAACCAGTCGAGTATTTTTTCCTTATTTAACAAATGTGGAATTTTTATGATTTTAGTTTTAAAAAATTACTTTAATCAATGGCAAGAAAAATTGTGATGTAAAAAAAAAGGATCTTACAGCCTATCAAAGTCCAGGCGGAAGAAAACATAACAGGAGAGTGAAAAGTATAGTTTGCTAACGCGGAGAACGTTTGCTCCTGTTCATTTGGAATTTAGCCATACTACTTAATATAATATAGCGAAATGTCGTTGAAATTATAGCTGCCGTGCCGTGACATAACTTGGTATTATTTTTCATCATTACCGTAACCGGATATCTACTCGAGTGTGCTGAAATTCTTGAAACGGCGCGAAAAAAATTGAAACAAAAAATATCGGTGATTCGGTTACGTAATACTTTTCATATCTCTGTTTCACATTACTTTGATCCTATAATTTGAGGGGTACGATAATTTTTATACTCCAACAGCCAATCAAGGAGCTATGCACTTTTGGAGTATCAAAACAAGTTTTGAAATCATTTCAAGACGTTGCGCAATTTTTTTTACATTTCTGAAATTTATAAAAGACTTAGAAGTATACTGTTAGGTTTCGGAGTCAACCGTAGTCTCCAGTATTTATAGTTGATTTTGTAGACTTTGAAAGACTTGCAAACCATCTTTAAGGACTTTTAATATGTTTTAATGTATTTTTGTTATTTAACATAATACCGTTAAATTATAAGGCAACATGAAATATTTTAAAAGTCATCGAATGACTTCAAACGAACTTAAGGTAGTTCTCTTGCGAAAACCTGAGAAACAGAATATGTTTAATTTGGTAGATTAAAATCTGCTAAATCCAATGGTAACTCTGTTTGTACTCCAACTCGGACAAAATCTTGAGAAATTTCAGCTCAAAGTTTAACCGTTTGACACGAGCTCAAATGGAAGAGCATTAAAAAAACAACTGCACAAGCATTTTCCGATTCAAAATTAAAAACCTGAGCAGACATTTTATGATGTACTTGTAGAAAAAATTCCGTTTTTTTAAATTTTGTTTCGTAAAATGCTGATAATCGGTCATTTTTTAAAGATATTTGCCAAGAAAGACGTGAAAATTAGTTTCATGGTTATGTGACAAATGGTAACAGAATTTGCGACACTGCTGTACGTATATGCTATATACAAGAGTCAAACTCTCCTACTTGACTAGAGCAGTAGACAAGGGAGCTACCTTAAGGTGATTATAGATCACAATATCCAACATAAAAGTTTCTAAAAACTATTGTGTAATTGCGATTAACCTCAAAAAATTATAGCAGTCCACTTTCGCCTATGCTGTTAACACAGTAAATGGCAATACATGATTGCATTTAAATCAATATCTTTCGATTTTTTTCTATAGCGAAAAATTTTCAACTAACCATTACAAATGGAATGGCTTCTAATTTATTACTCTAGTTTTTGGTAATCTTGGCCCAGCTCTACGAAAAGTAATCGCATGACTTACGGTGTCAAAATTTCGTCCATTAGAGCCCGTGTTTTCCGAGTGTTCAAACGACTCTATCTCGTGATTTTATCCTATAAGCAGAGAAGTTTATAAAAGATTTACAAACAACTTCTCCAAGTAATACTTTGATAGCCCAGTTTTTAATTTTCAGATGAGTCACCTTAAAGTTTTCGTAATATTGTATAAATAAAATTCAAGTCGTCGTACGACTGCAAACAGCTTTCGATGGCTTTGAAGTTTTTTCACTGGATTGCATCAATTTCACCAATATTCTCTGTACACATGTCAAAATTATACCATTTTCCTTTACATCACGAACAGGTATCGTGCTAGTGGTCTTCGGCATCCTGACTCTGGTGCACGGAGCCTCGCTCAGCGGCTCCGGAGCAGGAATCTGGGCTGGCATTGGCGCCCTGTCGGCTGGTGCTCTGGGAGTCGTGGCGACTCTGTCCTCGGGCTCGGGTCAGCTCATCGGTGCGAAAAAGCCGGCCTCGAGCTTCTCCTCGGCCCATCTCGCAGCCAGTCTCGTCGCCTTGGCCCTGTCCAATCTGTCGACCATAACTGCTCTCACCGCCGTCATCAGGGATTCGCAAAGAAGTCCACCGGATGTCACGCTGCTAGAACTTCCGGTGAGTGCACGCGTATTTTATACATACCACATGTATTGTTTTTAAGAGGCGAAAGTGCGCGTTGTTGCACGTATTTTTCAAAGAGAAAGAGATACCAGGTATGGAAAACAGAAAAGAAAGGGAAGTGAAAACAAGGATTACGATTTAAATTTTCTTCTTGCAGTTCGAGGTCACTATAAATTTTTTAGGGATAACCGATTAGTATACTTAGATTTCATCAAATTTTACTGTAAGCTCAATGTCCTCAGTTTACTACGTGTGCTATTACTTATAGTTGTATGAAAAATAATTAAATTTTTCCGATCTATTTAAAAAGTACTATATACTTGTAGTACTTATTACGTACTAGTACTAACTACTATACATAGTTATGAGTTAACAATTAACCATTGTTTATACAGTTTATTTTTATTTTGTAAAATAAACTACTTTTTTTTAAACTCCAATCTTCATGTTACATATCCCTATCACTACAGATGATTCTCGATTAGCTCATTATAATTGGTGCGATTAATACTTAATAATGACTATATCGTAAGGTTAAGTACACGATTATAGCAATAGAGACATCACGTATTTTTATGAAAATACTTTTTTAAACAATAGTAAGAAAATATTAAATTCTTATGTATAGACTTTTTATACTACACTTGATACCCGTAATCGTGTGAAAAGTAAATTTTTTTTAAGAAAATAACTTATTTTTTCAACGATAAGTTGTAAGAGTTGGGAAATTTTCTTTATAGCTGACAAAATCAGCTTTGCGCGGAGAAAGAAACATTTTAAAAAATTATCGAATCAAGACAAAATTTATTGTTGACAAACAAAATGTGACTCTTAGTCATCGTATTTCGTCGCAAACTGAACGTCTTTTGAAAACAAAATCAACATCTTTTTAACATGATAACGCTCTTCTTTTACATTCAAACATGCATTTTTCTTATTTTACTACACATACATGACAGAAGAATTTTTACATACTTCACTTTAAAATGTATGCTCGATTGATCCGGAACATGCCTTTTTTAATACAACCATACACTGATATCGAGTTTTGTTTCTATTGTTTCCTGTTACTGTTCGTAAATAGAGTACGACAAGTGTTTTTTGACATCTTAATGTGTCGTATTACTATCGGCTTGTATTAAATAATGATTTTTTTTTGATTCAACTGATTAATTGAATTAGTTGGTAACAAATAGTTACATTTTTGTAAATTAATTATAATTTCTTAATGTCGAATAATATATTCTATTAGTTCATTTCTAAAAAATTTTTTTTAAAAGTTCGTCTTAAAAATTGTAGGCTTTAGATGGCTGTCCGTCTTGAAGAACTAGATACGGCATTTAAAGTTTAAACTACTACTAAAATAAGATAGGAATTTTTTACTGATACGTTGTTATTTAACTCAAGTCTGCAACATCTCGAGTATGATGACCTAACATGTATCATGTTGAAAGTAGTTTTTTTTTACAGTAACGCACTAGAAAACAGAACTTCAAATACTTACTTCTCTCGTTAATCTTGAATAAAATCAGAGTTACGGCAAAAGATTAAAGAATTTTTTTTTTATTATTATTAAAGGTAATGAGATTAAAAATTATTTTTATCATATGATTTTTCATGCTGTCATTGGAATTGAGTTATCTAAATACTAGTTACACATAATTTTAGACTTAGATTTTGTAATTAAATATCAAAATATAAAATATTCAAGTGGCCTGTGGATTGCTTATGTACAGGACTTCAGGAATAGAGGTATATGTGCCCCAAATATTAAAAAAAGGAAGCTGTTCGTTTTTATTTTAGCTAGGAAAGAGGCAATACTGTAATGATTGGATCAAAGTCCATTTACGGCAGTAATGTTAAAACAACTGATATATTTATATAAGTAATAAAATCATGTTTTACAACATTTAATCTGAAAATTTCTGGACATCGTTTCCATTAAATTAGTCTTTAACTAGAAATAGTATATATAAATAAAGAACGGCAGAGCGGGTGATGATAGGGGGAAGTGTGATCAAGGTAGTGAATTCACCACCAATAATATATAAATAATAACTGAATTATGTTGATCAAAAACCAATAACAAAATAATCAAAACTTAACGTATTAAACGGCACGTAGAGAAACTCATAAGTTGGATTTCTATAACTGGCTGATTCCTAATCTCTTTCATTTGTGCATATCAACTTGATTTTTTATGTAAAATTAACAAATGATTTTGAGTGCTCTTGAATAGCACATATAGACACACTATAGTTGATGACATTTTCGGCTTTCTGCTTCATATTTATCTATTCGTATTTCAGTAATCTGAAAAAGCGTCAGCTGCACAGGAAGAAGGAGGCAATGCTGAATAACACGATTACATAGCCTGTTATGGACTGCAAACTTTGTTAATTGTTTTTTGTAGTTTTAATGCATTTTTGATACTTATTAAAGTATCAGTTTTCAGTGTTAAGAATTTGTTTTAAACAGATAACTATCACTTTATAGTTAAAAAAAAAAATAATAATAATAATACATCGAAAAATTATTTTCTGCTCAATACAAATTCTTAACACTAAAAATCCAGACATCATACGTAGAGCTCATTCTATCGATCCAGATTCCATGGTTTTAGGTGGTTCTTTCATAAAATTATCATGAACAGAATGGCATGAAACTTTGAGGAATCATTTATTGAGTTAAAATACAATACCTCTCGAAATTTCAGCGTAGGCTGACGAATGTAAACGCAATAAAATGATAAATGAAAATTTAATTCTAAACATGTGCTCTTATAGCAACTAAGCATTTTTTACTGAAAGTTGTAGCCTAAAAAATAGGTAAACATCCACTGCTGGTATTTTGCGGTTAAGCGCGAATTTGAGATAATCATTCCTACGAACTTTTATTTTATTTTAGCAGTACTTGATTTGCGTCAATAAACAGTATTAATAAATAATTGTTTAAAATTTAAGCAGCCAGACAATCAAACTATCAGAAAATTTAGTCAAACGACGAGGACAAACATACACATATATATATATATATATACATGTTGCAAAGACTCCACAAATTAGTACATAAATCTTGAAATGACTAATGTTTAAGTCAGATATATCAAGGTAATTGTATGACTTCTATTTGTTCGTATGGCCTGGTTCTAGACAACAACCTCAACAAATCTTTTCCCCATTAACTTTCACCGTGTAAATTTGTTCATCAATTGTTTAATCTCGTAGTGACACGTACATCAATTACCTAATGAGGTGGCCTTATACTAAACACGACGTGACAATCTTATTGCGAAAGGTCACTCCTAAAGTATATACTAAGATTACTTTCACTTTGGATTCGTTTCAACAGTATTCCGATTGAGTGCCTATGGATTGCATCAAAAGAAATCAATGGCCAAGACGTAAAAGCTGTACAATTAACATGTTTAGCATGGACTTCTTTTAATGCAAATTGAATGCATTGTCGTCATGTGGCAGGTTTTATCCGACCTTTCTTATCAAATGAAGACACTGATGCATTTAGTTGGAAATACACCATATCCTTGCAAATAGATTCTTTTACTCTTATAAATAAACTACATAATTCGTTGGACGTGAGTAAATAAGAGCCTCCATCTGATACCCAACTGTAATTGAACAGCACCTGCGGCCAAGAAGCGAACATACACTGTATACGATACATCAACGAGGCAGCTGCATGAGAGGGAATTAATATTTAATTAATACCGCTATTAACTTAGTCTTGCCTCGCATTCAACATTCGCAAAAGAAAGCAAGAAAAAGAGGGGGGGGGGGGAAGGGGGCGATGGTAATCAGTAGGCAAACGCGTTCGTTCCGTTCCCTATTCTTGGACCGTTATGCTCTCCTCGCAACGAAAGAGTGTAGCGGTGATTATATGATGCTATACGTGGGCTTTTCAACCACTCCGTGGGCCTTATCTCTCTTATTTTGCCACGCCTTGCTCTTGCACACCGCAGGTAAATGCTCTATTTTCATCCTTGGCTTATTATTCGAAAAATGCTCGCTCCTCCTGATCTTATTCTCGAGTATCTTTGTGATACGAGTTGGCCGCAACGAGATCACAGGCTCCTCCGTTAACGGTGAACTGCGCGTGCTTCCAAGCACTTTACCTCCTGTATTCGCCTATGCGTGGACAGATTTATGTGCTCCCGTACTATTTTGTGGATTTTTGAAGTAACGCTTCTCGTTTTTTACTAAAACTCCGGATGATGTCTCCAAAACAAATGATACGACTAGTTCAAGTATTTAAAAAGTATACCCTTACACCCATAAATAATTATGTGTCCCGATTTGAGGTAATAAATCAATATTAAAAATTTCTGGCTACTGAAGGCTAATAATCAAGTTTTTGAAAATATTTTATTGCATACAAAAACACGAAAAAATAGTTGCATGTTCACCTGATTGTTTGTTCTTTAGGTGAATTATGAATTGGTTTAGTAATTGATTTTTAATATTATATCTCAGTTTTTAATTTTGTCCTTTAATAAGCTCTAAATGACTTTTGAAAAATTGAAAATCCACTCCATTTGAAATTTGTAAAAATTATTGATTATTGCAGTATGAATAAAATAAAGAATAGGTGTATTTGCATGTAATTTAGTAATGTACATGTTATAAAAATCACTGGGATGAACATCTAATTTAATAGTACACAGAAGAAAATAATTAGAAAATAAAAGTGTAGCAGATATTATGTAAAATGAAGAATCGCAGGATGTTACCAAAGTTAAAGCAAATCATGGCTTGGAAAGCAGGCAGATGTGGTGTTAAGATAGACAAGCGAGGAAGAGTTTTAAAATATCGATAAGTCAACAAAGAAGATGATACAAGAATCACCACAATCTCTAACATTAAATTGACCAAGCAGAGTACACTAACTAGGAAGGCTCAAATAATGAGAACATCAACACAGTTATCCTGTTTGATTGTGCTTCCCTTACAAAACCTTCCTGTAAAAAATCCTGCAGA